AATGATGAGAGAGAATTATTGATCAGCTGCCTCCTGCACGCCCCCTACTGGGGATCAAGCCCACAACCTGGGCATGTGCCCTTGATGGGAATCGAACCTGGGACCTTTCAGTCCGAAGGCCGACGCTCAATCCACTGAGCCAAACTTATGCATTCATTGGTTGATTTTTTTAAAAAATTAATTTCAGAGAGGAAGGAACAGGGAAAGATTGAAACATCAATGATGAGAGAGGATCATTGATCGGCTGCCTCCTGCACGCCCCCTCCTGGGAACCAAGCCTGCAAGTCGGGCATGTGCCCTTGAATAGAATCGAACCCAGAACCCTTCAGTCCCCAGGCCGACGCTCTATCCACTGAGACACACCAGCCAGGGCATTGGTTGATTCTTGTGTGTGCCCTGACCAGGAATTGAACTCTCAACCTTTGTGTATGTGGACGATGCTCTAACCAGTGGTCAGCAAACTCATTAGTCAACAGAGCCCAATATCAACATTACAACGATTGAAATTTCTTTTGAGAGCCAAATTTTTTAAACTGAAACTATATAGGTAGGTACATGGTTATTAACTTCATTAGGGTGCTCCTAAGGCTTAGGAAGAGCCACACTCAAGGGGCCAAAGAGCCGCATGTGGCTCGCGAGCCGCCGTTTGCCGACCACGGCTCTAACCAACTGCGCTACCCGGCCAGGATGGAATGTGACCTTTCTTGGAGATGGGGGTTTTTACAGACGTAATCACATTAAAATGAGGTCACCAGGGTACCTCGTGTCCCTGCACGCCAAGGAGTTGAGGTCATAGACACGTCCGGACGAGGGTGAGGCGAGGCGAGTCGGGGAGAAGGTGGCATTCATGAGCCTGAACGGCCCCTCCCTTGCGGCCGCAGAACAGACCAACCCTCAGACACCTTGATCTCGAACTTCCAGCCCCCAGAACCGTGAGACAATCCATTTCTGTGGTTTGAGTCACCCCGTCTGTCATTATTCTGTTATGGTGGCTCTAGACCAGTACAGATTGTAGTTCCCGGAAACGGGGTGCTGCCGTAACAAGTAGCTAAGCATGTGGACACACCCTGGGTGGTGTTGCTCAGTGGTTAGAGTGTCGGCCCGCAACCACAGGGTCATGGGTTCGATTCCTGGCCAAGGACACATACCTGGGTTGCAGGTTCGATCCCTGTGCAGGAGGCAACCCATGGATGTGTATCTCTCACATCCGTGCCTCTCTCT